ACTGTCTGTTGGGTATGCTCGGTAGTCTCTTTCTCATCAGATTTGACAGCTTCCGGTAAAGGTTCTAGATCTTTCTTTGTTTGATCCACTGGGACAGGTTTTTCTCCAGACTTTTGCTGTACAAATTTAGGTGGAAATTTTTGTCTGAGATCTAAAAGTAAGGCATCCACACGCTGTCTCTGGAAAATAGAGCTTGGTTCTTCTTTCCTCTTGACTTTAGGTTTGACTTTATCTTGCTCTTCATGATCCTTGAAATGCCACCAATATCCTTTGGAGGGATGATATCGACAGTATGACATAGCTTCATCAAAAGCTGACTGAATGCCATGCACTGCAGTAAGCACTCTGGAATTTATAACTGAGCCCAAGTCTGGTGCCTGATAAATCACTCCAGCAATGATGTAATAATCAGCTAGAGGGATAACTTGAGTAGGTGACTGCCGTTGCTGCTTACGAATAATAAAAAGAATTGGTTCTTGAGCGTGGAGAAGGATGTATTCCACTCCAATCATCTGATTCGAGTGTTCTAATGTTAGTCTCTGCATTTTGACTACTTCATTGTTGCATGTCCTGTCATAGAAAGGGTTGCTTCTTTCTGAAAAGTAATCCAGGACACTACTACTGTTCAAAATGGGGATCCAGGCACTGTCAACCCATGGGATTCCCAGCAGGTTATCTTGGATATCCACAGCCGCCATAGTTCCACTGGCACTCGCGAGCACTTCCCGCGCACAATAAACGTAAGAGGTCGCAGCAGATTGCGTTGCTGATGAAGCAAGCAAAGAGGGGAGGGACGTGCAAAGCGAGGAAGAACGGAAATGAGAGGAGAGTGCGTGGAAGAGGAGGAAGGGGGCCAGGGAATGAGATGGATGCTGCTGGAAAGGGGCCGGGGCGACACGGCAGAAGGGCCAGGAAGAACTGGAAAAGGAATTCTTAAGTTGTTGTTGTTGTTAGGTGCCATTGAGTTGAATATGACTCATAGCAACCCTGTGAACAGATCTGAACCCTGTTCTAGCCTGTGCCATCCTTACAATCTCTGACATATTTGAGCCCATTGCTGCAGTTATGGTATCATGTCAGTCCACCTGCTTGGGGTTCTTTCTCTCTCTTGCACTGACCCCTCCACCTTTCCAAGCATGATTCCCTCTCCAAGGAATAGCCTCTCCAAGCAATCTGCCCAAAGTGTGTGAGATCAAACTTTGCCCTCCATGCCTCCAAGGAGCATTGTCGCAAGTGCGTATCTGTTTGTTCTTCTGGCAATCTGTGGAATATACAGGACTATTCTCAAGCACCACAGCTCAGAGGCATCAGTTCTTCTCTCATCTGTATTCACTGTCCAGCTCTCAGATCCATGCAAAGCAAGTAATTGAAAAGAAAAAAGCCTGAATCAGACACACCTTTGTCCTCAAAGTGACATCATTTCTCCCCAATAATTTGGAGAGGTCGCAGACTAGACTTTTTCCAATGCATCACGCCTTTGAGTTCCTGACTGCTGGTACCAAGGGTGTTGACTGCGGATCCAAGGGAGAGGAAGCCATTGGCAGTTTCATTCTTTTCTCCATCTGTCATGATGTTGCTTGTCAGTCCAGTGGTGAGAGTTTTTGTTTTCTTGATGTTGAGATGCAATCCAGATGGAAGGCAGTATTCTTTAAGCCTTCTCAGTTTCAGCAAGTATGGTAGTGTTGTCTGCATAATATAGATTATTGAGTTGCATGGTGGCAAGGTTGGGTCCTTTCTCCATGCTTTTTCAGTCTGTTTCCTGAGCAAATAATTCCCAAAGCTGGACTCTATGAAGAAGAATGTGGAATCAAGATTGGATGAAGACTCATCTACCACCTATGTTATGCAGGTGACACAATTTGCTGAAAGTGAAGAGGAAATGAAATGCTGCAGAAAGTCAAGGACTACAGCTTTTGGTATGGATTACATCTTAACATCAAGAAAACAAAGGTCCTCACTACAGAACCAGCAGTTAATATTGTGATAATATGGAGAAAGGCTTGAAGCTGTCAGTGATTTCATGGATCAACAATCAATTATATACCTGGTATCAGCAGTGTGGAAATCAGGAGACCCATTGCATTGGGCAAATGCACTGTTAGGGACCTCTCCAAAATGCTGAAGGGCAGTGGTTTCACTTTCAAGAATGAGGTGAAAGGGAGCTCTGGTGGCCTACTGTCAAGAAACTGCACTGCAATCCCAGAAGTACACGGTTCAAATCCACCAGACGCTGTGCTGGAGAAGGAGGGGCAATCTCCTCCTGTATCAGTCAGATCCGATTTGACGGTACACACACACACAAAAATAATGAAATAATAATAATAATTTTTTTTAAAAAAAGAATGAGGTGAACCTGACTCAGGCCGTGGTATGCTCAATCACCTGCTGCACATCAGAGAGCTGGACGGTGAGTAAGGATGACAGAAGAGGAATGGATTCCTTTGAGATGTGATGTTGGAGAAGAGCACTGAATAGCCCATGAACTGCCAAAAGAACACGTGGATGTGACTTGGTAAAAGTGCAGCCAGAGTGGTCCTTGGAGGCAAAGACGGCAAAGCTCCTCTCTCATGCTTTGGACGTGTGGCGAGGCAGGGCTCTTCCTTGGAAAGAGACATCATGCTTGGAAAGATATGGAGGGCCAGCGAAGGAGAGGAAGATCCCCCAACGAGGATTGCCACTGTGACTGCAGCGGGGGGCTCTGGTGTGTCAGGGAGGGTGAGGAGGACAGACAACAGAGCAGGGTTCAGGTTGGCTGTTCATAGAGTCACTGTGAGTCATACTTGACAGAACGTAACAACAAAACTCAAAAAGCAGGAAGGGGTGGGAGAGCAGCTTCTTGGAAATGAGGATCACAGGGAGGAAGTGAGAAATACGCGGTTACATTGGGGTATTTGAATTAATGTCAAAGCGGAATGAGCTTGAATGGTTGAATGGAAAACCACTTTGTTTACATCATAATAAAGAACATAATAGCAGTAACAAATGTCTTATGTACATGGATTGAGAAAGGTTCCTAGAATTCTTTAAGTGAGCGGGTAGCTGTGTTTTTCTCTTAATACCACAACTTCCCCGCCCCACAAATCAAAGCTTTATAAATTGTTTCACTGAATCAGAACTAACTTAAAAATGTCCTGCGTACTCTCTCCCACTCTAAGCCATCATTCTCAGCCCTGCCTGATGTGAATACATCTGATGTAGGGTGGAAAGGGCATGGATTTAGAAATCACTTTTACTTGGGTTCGAGGCCTTGGCCTGCCTCTCATTAGCTCTGAGATCTTGTAAGTGGCTTCTCAGAACCTCACTTTTGTCACTTGGTAGAACTGGGGAGAGCACAGGTCTTAAAGGGGTGAAGTGAGAATTAATTGAAATAAGATGTAAAAGACCAAAGGCAGTGGGAGGTTCCTAGCAGAGACTCTGTTAATCGTAGCTGTCACACATCCTCCTGGGCTGCTCTGGGACTCCTCTCCTCTTTGACTCTCTGTGTTAGATTAAGCAACCTTGTTTGCCAGTTACTCTGACCATAAACTCCTTGAGACCAGGAACTAAACTGTATCTCTTTTTATACTCTCAATAATTAAGACTCTTGCCTTACTTCTTGAACTAACCAGATACGTTTGGAAAGGCAGCTGGAGTCTTTTTTTCATGACCTGAATAAAAAAATAGACATCCTCAAACAAGCAAAGGGGGAGCGCATATGTTCTGATTGAGCTGGGGGAGTGTGAGGGGAGCGGTGTGGGGAGCCCCGGGAAAAGCATAGGATACTTGCACTCTGCAGGGGTGAGTGTAGGGGTGTGCAGGTTCCATGTGGGGTTCCAGTGCCCTAGATTTTTATAGATTAGTGCCTGTGTGTGTGTGTGTGTGTGTGTGTGTTAAGCGTTAATCACCCAACTACCCCATTCCTTCAGAAGAGAAGACCTTCACAAAGAAAAATTGTTTGAAAGATGCAAACGGAATACTAATTACAGTTGTTTTTAAAAAATTTTTTTATTAATTTTAATGAAAGTTTACAGAGACTTAGAGTTTCCAGTCATTCATTGTTGCACTTTAATTACAATTGTTTTGTAAGCTTCTGTCATTCATGACTGATAATCAATCACAGAGTACAGAAATAATGATGTTTATCCTAAAATATCAAATTGACTTGACTTGATGTTTAGTACAATTATTCTCCAAAACTTGATATGCTTGTCTAGTCTTTTTTTCTTTTTTTAAAAAATAATTTTAGTGAGCATTTACAGAGATTTTGAATTTCCATTCATTCATTGCTGCACTTATCTCCCCGCCCACCCGTTCTCACCTCTCTTTCAAAAGTAAAAGAAACACTCGCTTGTCTAGTCTTTATGGTGGGCAGCATGGAGGCTCACAGAAAAAGTCAAGGATATTTAGCACTTGAATGAATTAATTGTTTAATCATGAATATTGATTACTTAATAATAAACTTTTTTCTAACAGGGTTAAAATTCACGAGTTGCTAATAAGAGCATAAAATCAGGCACACTTAAGGATTATTTTAAGAAAGGTAAATGAGACATTTTATGAAAATTTTTGCATGTACAGCAAAGTTAAAAAAATTTTGCATTAGATTATGGCATTAATAATTTATCATCATTTTATCACCTATTTACCTGCCCAGACTTCTCTCCATCCGTCAATTTCCAGTACAGTTTTCTCTCATTTTAAAGAGATTAAGGCTGTAGATTGCATGTTCATGTTGTTATTTCTTTTTTCCAAATTGGATCTGACTGGCTCAGGAGGAGATTGCCCCTCCTTCTCCAGCAGAGCATCTGGTGGATTTGAACTGCATGCCTTCGGGATTGCAGTGCAGCTTTTTGCCACTAGGCCACCAGAGCTCTCTTCTGCATGTTCATTTTGGATCAGCTTTGTTTTTCTTTTATATTGTATCAGTTGATTTTTTTAATAATGACATGACTGATCTGTGATGTCCTGGAAAACACTGGGACTTATGTGTAAATCTGTTCATCCTGTTTCTAGTGTAAAAGATGAGTCGTGGATATTCAGAAAACAACAATTTCCTGAACAATAGCAACCAGATGGTTTTGGACATGATCCTTTATCCGCTAATCGGAATCCCTCAGACCATCAACTGGGAAACGGTAGCAAGACTCGTGCCTGGATTAACACCCAAAGAGGTAAATAGTAATCCTGACACCAGCCAGCCACAAATGACTGTGTTCACAAGGTGTTGTAACCTGTGCTGCATTCTGGAGATGTACTTTTGAAAAACTTGTGTCTCTCTTGTCTTTTTCACTGGGAGATGAGCCTGGCAAATGTGTTTCTGGGTCCCAACGTGTTATTTCCCCTCCTTCGCTGACCCTCCACTCTGCCAGGCGTTATGTGGTTGTGCCCGGACTGTTTTCTCCTAACACCATGCCCAGAGAGGTGTGTCAGAGATGATGAGACGGCACAGGATGGGACGACGTTCAGATCTGATGTTCAAGGGTCTGCTGGCAGTCGTCCTCAGCTCAGCAGCACCTAACAACGACAGCGCTTTCTTGGTTCAAATCCAACAGCTGCTCCATGGGAGAAACATGGGCAGTCTCCTCCCATGCAGTTTACAGCCTCTGAAAGCCTGCTGGAGAGTCAGCTGTGGGCTGGTTCTGACTCGACTGCACGTAGCAGCGACATGATGCTTTAGCGGAGAATTCCCTTTCTCACCATGATTTCCACGTTCATGCAAATAGTGTGTTTCCAGGCACCTTAAATTGTATGCACTTGGTGCAGGGATCTGGAAGTTAGTGCATCAGCAGCGGCTCATGTGTCCTGCTTAACGGTTACTCATGGTGGACAGTGTTTGGTGGAGTTCCCAGTTTAAGACAGGTTTGGAAGCAGGAGTGGCATCCACTTTCTAAACAGCATGCCTCTGGAAACTATGAACTTTGATAAATGGCGATAGTTCTAAAAAGCCTTCAGGTCTTTTGTTCATAGGGTCACTATGAGTCATACTCGACTCAATGACAATCATCAATAACAACAACATGTGTCCTACTAATCATACCACACACCCCCCTCAAACCAACTCTGTTGTGACAGAGTTAGGAATAACAAGTATGTCCCACATGGTCCTGCCCAAGTCCAGTGGAATGTATGTGTCCCTCATCATATGAAGCAGTTTTCCTTTTTTCGTAATAAAGACTTTGGGAATGCTCTCTAACTATGCCTTCTATCAGTGAAAACATATGGTACCAGCAAGAAATTCAAATTAAAAAAAAAGAATCAATCATGAAAGGTTTAAATTACCCTGAACTCTTCCAGCATCGTCTGCCTTTACGGACCGCTAGTACATCTCCCCCACGCTAGTCTCTTCCTTACCTGTCCTTTTTTTTTTTTTTTTAAGGAATTATCCTTTATTCTTTTTCTAAGTAGCCTTGGGCAGTTGAAACACTTCTTCTTGTTGGTGGCACTGTAAGCAGGAGAGCAGATGGGCACTGAAACATTCTGTCATTTGGATGAGCTGGGTGGTTTTAACTTTTTTTTTCTCCTTAGATTCAGAAGTCAACTTAAAAATTAGTATGCGATTACACTGAGTGAACTAAACCCCACAAGGATGAATATTGTATAAGACAATTATTGTAGAATGAGTATAAGGATCCAGGAGGGGTGGGAGAGGCTGGAAGCAGAGGGATGTGGATGTGCAGGGGGAAGAGGGGATTAATCACTGCGTTGTACAATTTTATGAGTGGCGGGGTGAGAGAAATTGAAAGAATTTGTTCGAATTTGTATTCTAATTTTGTAAATAAACTAATGAAAAGGGGAAAAAAATAGTATGTGAGACTTAGAGCTCTGCTGAGTCATCCATAAGCTATGGTTTGAGAAACAGAGCAATTGGGATTTTTGTTGTTGAAAAGAATCTTAAATTGAGTCCGTCATCTCAAGAGTTCTAGAAGCAGAAATGACATGGTAACGGCTCCCCCCTTATTTCTTGTCTTATTATCCTATATCTTGGATTTATGACCATAGTAAAACCCTGTGGTGGTGGTGGAGGACAGATGACCGACCCTCCAGCAGGTTTTCAGAGGCAGTAAATAGCACAGGAGATTGAGTGTCTTTCTCCCATGGAGTAGCTGGTGGATTTGAACCCTGTACCTTTAATTTGGCTGTGCAACTTCTTCTTTTGAGTATTAACTCAGCGTGGCACGCATGATGGCAGAGGCGGGGGGGATCCTCTCCCTGAGGAAGGGAGGAGAGAAGGCGGCTTAGGAGGCGGTGTTTGGAAGGACTGTGTGGAAGTCTACTGACATCCCTAAGCAACAGACAAGGTTCCGAGTGTCCATCCTTATCAGGTCAGCTGCTCAGCCAGGCTCCCGATGGAAGTCCCACACCTTGATGGTTCACGAGGCCTTAAATGACAGCGTGGTGTCCCAGTGAAACCTCTGAGGTGAAAGCTTGCCCGACACAGGAGGAGGGTGGCGTGGTTAAGCTTTCGACACTCCGGTCACTTAACCTACTAACCTTATTCAGCTTTGTCTCCTCCATAAATGGCCTTGGCATGGAGCCGAGCACATCAGTAAGCCCCAGCTGGTCACGTTTTCTGAATGTTAAAGAATCAGACAGAGTGAAGGGTCTGAAAACAAACGAAGGCCCCAATTTTTGTATAACATTTATTTTCCCAGAACAACCCATCTCTGGAACATATAGGTTAATGGTAGGTGGGTACAGAAATTGTACTGCTTGTCAGTTTGACTCATGTTCACCGCTGCCTGGTCTCCTGTCATTAACTGCCTTCACGTTGGCTTCTACTCAGAGTGACCCTTTGTCCAAGGGGAAGAACACGGCCTGGTCCACCCTCAGTCAGCAGTGAGTGTGAGCCCGCTGTTCCAGGCATTGTGACCCCCACTTCCTGTTGAGGGTCTTTATCATTTTCTTTTTTTTTTTAAGGAGAGGGAAGGAGAGGGGGTAAAATGCGCAACAATGAATGAATGAAAATTCAGCTTTTCTGTAAACTTTCATTAAATTTACAATTTTAAAAAATGTATTAAGGAGCGCTCTGGTGGCCTAGTGGCAAGAAGTTGCACTGCAATCCCAGAGGTGCGTGGTTCAAATCCACCGGATGCTCTGCTGGAGAAGGAGGGACAATCTCCTCCTATACCAATCAGATCTGATTTGATGGTACACACACAAAAAATAATAATAATTTAAAAAATTTATTCAAAAGACAACCTGACGTTGTTGTTGTTGTTGTTGTGTCTTTATCTCATTGGCTCTCGCCCAGGCTTGCCCTTCTGGATGACATGCAATATATACTTTTTTTGGGGGGGGAATATATATACACACACACACACACACACACACATATTTGTTTGTTTGAATTGGTGAATAAATTGTTCCACTCACCCTTTTATAGAAGAAAAAAAACAAACCACAGCAAAAATGGATTTAGGCGCACCTTAGTCTCTGGACTGACATCGTTGCTTGTCAATACTCTGGAGAGGTCCCTGACAGCAGATTTTCCCATTGCAACTCGTCTTTTGATTTCCTGACTTGTAGAAGAGCGCTGGTGGTCTAGTGGCAGGAAGCTGCAATGCAAAGGCACGTGGTTAGAATTCACCAGTTTTGATCTGCAGGAGAAGAATGGGCAGTCTTCTCCTGTATGATTAACTGCATCTGGAAACCCGCTAGAGATTCAGCTATGGGTCGGTTCTGACTCCACGACACACGATAACTATAGTGCCAACCAAGGGTGTCAGTTGTGGATCTGAGCAAGATGAAATCATTAACACCTTCCGTCTTTTCTCCATCTGTCATGATGTGGCCTTCTGGCCTGGTGGTGAGGATTTTTACTTTCTTTATGTTGAGATACAGTTCATACGGAAGCCTGCAGTCCTTGAGCTTCCAAAGCAAATGCTTCAAGCCCTCATTTTCAGCGAGTAAGGCTGTCTCATCTGTGTAATGATACAGGTTGCTGATGAGTCTTCCTCCAGTCATGCTGCTACACCCTTCATAAAATCCAACCTGTCGGATGATCAGCATCTAGATTGAAAAGTTAGGCAGAAAGGATATGTCCCTGACACACTTCTTTCTTAATTCTGAACCATGCAGTGTTCCTTTGCTGTATCTGGCTAACAGCCTCTTGGTCTAAATAGAGCTTCACGTGAGCACAATCAAATATTCTGGGATTCCCATTCTTCCTAGCGTTAGCCATAATTTGTTGTGATCCACACAGTCAAATGCCTTGGTCGTTAAAAACACGATGGTCTTTCTTCTGGTACTCACTGCTTTTAGCCAAGATCTTTATGAAATCAGCAGTGAAATCGCCGATCCCACATCGTCTGCTCAGCTTGTGTTTGAGCTGGTTGGTGCACTGGAGTCACCTACGTTCAACACCTACGTTCAACTTAATATCAGATTAAGTTCCGAAACATTTCAAAATCATTCATCCCAATTTCTCATTCTGGTTCACTTCCAAATAAAAACCAAGCAAATAGACGATATTTTTTTCCTTGATAAATAAATATTCCGTTTCTGTCTTTGTGACAGTGTGCCAAGAGGTTTGACGAGCTGCAGGGCAGCGGGAGCTCACCTGTTGACAACCAGTACAGTCCCCTGATGGCGGCCGGCGAGAGTCCTGTGGAAACGTTAGCCACTTACATCAAATCCTCACTTCTCGACACCCGGGGAGAATTTCAGGAGGCTCCTGCCGGTCAGGAGGTGGCTTCTAAATCGGGTGAGCTTTTCAACCGAAACACACTGCTGTTCTGTCATTATCAGTCTGCAAAATGTCAAATGACCCTCAACTGACTTTTGTCATGAAATGAACATGAATAAGAAATCTATTCATACTGTCATCGTCCTGAAGTTTAAAAATGATATGCTGTCTTAACTGTGTATTTTTAAAAAGTTTTTTTTTTTTTTGTAGCAAATAATGTTTTAATTGGGTGAACTTTTTTTTTACAAATACATTAGAGAATCATGCAATGCTGCCAGCATTGGATGCAATCCTGGGCCACAGGTCTGCACACTCCTTTGCAACTGGTCCAGTGATGGCAGAACCTTTCATCTCGCCTTTATTGTTTACTATGACTCCTGCATTATCTTCAAAATAAAGAAACACCCCATCTTTTCTCCGGTATGATTTTCGTTGTCGTATTACCACTGCTGGATGTACCTTCTTTCTGAGCTCTGGTTTTCCTTTCTTGACAGTGGCCATCACCATGTCACCCACACCAGCAGCAGGAAGTCTGTTAAGTCGTCCCTTGGTCCCCTTCACAGAGATGATATATAGATTCTTGGCTCCTACAAAAGTTAATTTTTCCAGAGCATATTAAAGAGTATTTTATCTACTAGCAGCACTTCTCCCAAACCAAAGCTTTCACACCAGTTAATTCAAAAGGTATTATACCTTGTTACACCACCGATTGAAGCAAAACAACACAGGATGTTGCTGCTTCACCCAAAAGTAGTGTTTTTATTCTGCCCTTTCTTGACGGCTCAGTGGGTCACTGACAAAAGGTTTAAAAAGTTTTAAATGTTAATATCAGTGGAAGCAGGAGTGGCATGCACTTCCAAAAGTGCATGCTTCTGGAAACTCTGTGACCTTTGAGAAACGATAATTCTCGAAAGGCTTCAGGTCCTTTGTTCCTAGGGTCGCTGTGAGTCATGCTTGAGTCGACAGCAGTCAACAACAACATATAAATCAAATATTATTACCAAAAGATTTTTTTATTTTCATAAACCTTCTCCACTGGCCTGTTGATCTGGTTGATTTGGAGGCTTGGTTTTTTTAAGGTATTATTTCTTTTTTTTTCCTGTGTGTCTTTTTTTACTTTATTTTAAAAGGATTTGGCCTGTGTCGTCTAACCTGATTTTTCTGAGATAATCCTATTCTCTGATGTAACCTTTTTAAAATAAAAAAAAAAATATTTGTGTGTGTGTGTGTGTACCGTCAAATCAGATCTGACTGGCACAGGAGGAGATTGTCCCTCCTTCTCCAGCAGAGCCTCTGGTGGATTCGAACCACGCGCCTCTGGGATTGCAGTGCAGTCATGTAACCTTTTTTATAACTGCTCTTCATTGCAGTTCAACTGAAGTTTTAAATGACAAATGACACAGTGGCAAAGGAGAAGATATTTTCTGCAGTTATACTGGAAATAACTGGTTTGGGAATTCCTCAGCATACAGTTATTTTCACTTTATTATTGAAAATTTAATGTAAGTTTATAGAGAACTTGGATTTCCATTCATTCCTTTTTTGCACATTTTCCTCCCTACCCACCACCTTCAGTTTGCTTTTCTCTTTGAAAAAAAAAATTCTTTCATTATAGCTCAGTTTCCTCCCACTCCAGTCCACCCCAGTCCTAGCTCTTATTCTGGATTGTTGTCATGCGTATGATACCTAGTTCCTTTTAAACAGTTCTTTACCTCACATATTTCAATGCAGTGTACATTATTTATCCCCTCTTTTCTTAGTTTTCCCTAACCCTCGTGTCAGTCCTGTTTTATAACAGTGGCATTATGCAGTATTTGTCCTTTGTGACTGAGATACTTCACTCAGCATAGTGTCCTCCAGGGAGTTCCTTGATTTTCAGTGCTGCATAGTATTCCATTGTGTGAATATAAGTTATTTTAACTTTAGAAAGAAAAGTTGAAAAAAAAAAAGAAAGAACAGTTGATACAAAAATATCCTTTGGGAAGAAAAACTATTTTTAAAATTTTTATTTTATGTTGGTTTGCATTAAAAAAACCCAGTTATTTTTGCCTTTTGAACATTTGCTCACTGGTTATACACAACAATTGCTATTTTTTTTTCAGTCTTTAATTTGCAACGTTACTCATTGAACATTGTTTTCCTCCCCTGTATACCTTTAGGAATAAGGAATATTAACGGAAAATGCCATCTGATTAATGTTTTCTTTAACTAGCCTTGCACATCATGCATCTACAGTGGTTGCCAACTCAATAACCGAAAACCTGCTCTGAGCTAGAAGTGCTAACACCCTCCCGCTTTTGTTTTGTGTGTGCTTGTTTTTCCATTTAAGGAAGACATAGTATAGCCTCCACAAGGAATTGTTCTTCAGAAAGTGAAAATTGTTCTTCTCATAATGGTGGAGAAAAGACTGAAGATTCTGAAGGGTAGGAGCCTGGTTTTTTCTAGATACGATTTAATATTAATTTACACTTGTAAAATTTAAAATTCGTAGTTAGTGGTTATATACATCACCTAATACTGTCTATGAGTTGTGCATTACATAATTAGGTAACCAGTTAGAATCAGCTTAGTTCATATGTTGAACTAAAAACAGCTGTTTGATACCTAAACATATGGCTTACTTATGTTGTTACTAAAAATTTTACATTTTTAAATTTCTATTCGTATTTGAAAATGTTATGGATGACATCTGTTGGTATAAAACTTTGAAAAGTAATTTTTAAAATCCAAAAAAATTTCTCCTTGCCTTTTTTTACCCAACTTTCAAGAAATTAATTGGATGTGTATTTTAGAGCTATTTGAATATAGCCAATCATTGAAACATTGGGAAATGAAAATGTATTTTTCATTTAAGTATTGGTATTTTTTTATTGTATACTTTGTTATATAATAAAGTGCACATATTTTAAATGTTCGCTTTGTTGACTTTGACAAAAACACACTGTGTAGCTGTCACCTGAGTCAAGATGTAGACCATTTTCATCATCCTTGACAATTCCTTTGTGAACCCTGAATTTTGGCAAATATTCTTTACAGCTGTTAAAATAGTCACATCATTATTAAATTTAGTCCGTTAAGTGTATATAACTCAGTAGTCTTTAGCTTACGCACATAGATTTTTACCTGATAGGTTAGTTTGTCAGAGTATGTTTTTGCTAAAATTCTCTATTCTTCATATTGTTTATGAAACTTTGTTTTACATTGCCAGTTATTACTTGTTTATATTTAAACGTCATTTCTTTGAGGAAAAAATCAAAGTTATTTAACTTTTGGCAAAGCATTGGTTTTCATCTTTTTTTCCTGATAGCTCAGTTTTATTTCAGATGGAAAATTTTCATATTAGTGGGTTTTGAGCTTCAGTTAGTCACATAAATTCCCATCGTAGGACACTCTCTGTTTCTTCTCTTCCATTGTAATGACATGAGGCAGATGTGGACCAGACTGTAACGCTTCTTTTTGAAATGATAACATTTTCAAGGGCAAGTAAATTTAAGGATTTTACGGGTTTTTTCTTTTTAATTTTAATAAACATTTACAGAGATTTTGGATTTCCATTCATTCATTGCTGCACTTTTCTCCCTGCCCACCCCTCCCTCACCAGTTCGCCTCTCTCTTTGAAAAGAAAAAGAAAAAAAAATTCTTTCATTGGTATACAATTCCCCCATCCCTTTCCCCTCCCACTTTCTCCCTCCCCCCCCACCCCCACACCAAGTTCACTTCTCTATGCAACCTTAATTCTGGACTCCTGTGCTAACCATAATACTCAATCATATATCGCCTCTAATTTGTTCTTTTCCTCATCTGTTTCAATACAGTATACATGATTTATCCAGTTTTTTCTCAGTCTTACCCCAACCCTGATGTCAGTCCCATTCTACAACAGTGGCACCATGCAGTATTTGTCCCTTTGTGACTGAGATATTTCACTGAGCATAATGTCCTCCAGGGTCACCCATTTTGAATAATATTGCATGAGTTCCTTGTTTTTCAATGCAGCATAATATTCCATTGTGTAAATATACCACAGCTTCTCTTATCCATTTGTTTGTTAGTGGGCACTTAGGTTGTTTCAAACTCCTTGCTAATTTGAACAAAGCCTTGATAGACGTGCATGTGCATGTATCTGCTTGGATGGCAATTATGGTCTCTCTGGGGTATATTCCCAGTAATGGAATTGCTGGGTCAAATGGTATCTCTATTTGCAACTTTTTGAGAAAGCACCACACCACTTTCCACAACTGTTGCACCATTTTACATTCCCACCAACAGTGAATAAGAGTTCCAGTTTCTCCACATCCTCGCCAGCATTTGTTGCTTGCTGTTATGTTAAATTTTGCTATTCTTACTGTGGTGAGATGATATTTATTATTTTTTTAA